CTTTATTTTCAATGTCAACCTGTTCATTTCTGCACAATCCAATATCTTCTTTATTATCTCTCCTTCTGATGGGATTTTATCTGTTTTCCAATTTTGTGCAAATACAATTCTACCTTCTGTTATTATCTGTACAATCAAATATGAATCTTCTTTACTATATTTCTCTGGTAGAATACCCAATAAGAATACCTCTGGTCTAAACCCTATGGGCTGGTGTATCATTTTCTCTAACCATAAAGTGGGCACTTTTTTTTGAAGTGGGATAGATTTTTTTATACATATAAAAAAACCGAGTGGCTTTAGGTACTGTATACTTTTTAAGTTTAAAGTCAATTAAACTATGAAATAAGTAATGAAACAAATCTTAATTGAGGAGGAGATATAGTTCAAAAAATTCATCACAGATAGGAGATTACAGTGGGGATTTCTTCTATCCATATCCTTAATTTACTGTACAAACCTTCGGTGATCTGACTGAACATAGGAGCAAGTATTAAGTTTGGTGGAATGTGGTTTCTTTCCTAGGGAAAAATGTCCGAAGATCCATCCATGGTGTTGGCCAGATGATGTCTACCATGATGCTGAGCAGGAAGCAGTCCATCTTTGGTTCATCGAACATGAATGCCGTGGTTGTTCCTGAGCCAGCAGATAGGGGAAGAAGCATTGAAAATGAAAACATAGTAGTGATGGAAACAAAGCTGAAAATTCTAGAGATATTGCAGGTTAGAGAAATTCAGTAGTTCTGAATTTCACACACTATGAGCCATGACTCTATGACACAGTAGCTTTGGCTGGGGCCATTTATGATAATGACTTTAGAGAAGGGAAAGGAATGACAAAAGGCTAGAAAAGTCTGTAAATGGGCTAGACCAGATATAATTTTAATATGATTTTAATATGATTTATTTGCATTTCTATGCCGCCCTATTCCCGGAGAGACTCAGGGCGGCTCACAAACCAAAATAGGGGGGTGGGGAATACAAACAGGGGGGAAAAAAACAACGGACAACTACTACAAACAATTTAAAAACACTCAACAACCACACAATTCTAGCGGGAGTGGGAAATCCGTCAGCCCCAGGCCTGTCGGAACAACCAGGTTTTAAGGGCTTTGCGGAAAGCCTG